TCTTTCTTTCTTTCTTTCTTTCTTTCTTTCTTTCTTTCTTTCTTTCTTTCTTTCTTTCTTGCAGACCTGTTCGGCTTCGGCACCACGTGAGCTCCTCATCGCTCGTATTGATGAGCAAACAGCTTGACGTAGGCAAACTTTTTTGTTAGTTGGTTCTAACGCGTCGTGCTCGCCAACAGGGCCTGCGGCGGCGGCCTCGTCACCTGGAAGGGCACCAACCTCACCGACGCCCCCGGCAATCGGTACGGCGCCTACATCGCCAACTCTGCCATCGTCCGCGTACGCCCCCTACTCCTTTCTCTCCCCTCGTATCCACGCACCGACGAAACGATCGATAGTCCCCCGACGCGAACGCCACGACGGTCACCGTTGGCGAGTGTTATCTCGGTAAGCTCTCCCCCCCCCCTCCTTCCCTCCCTTTTTCCTTCCAGGTACGAAGTATTGACATCGATATTCAGGCCGGCCGTGGAACGACCTCGCGACGACCGTGTACCTGAACGTGTCCATGGACGCCAGCATCAACCCCGCCGGTTTCAAGCCATTCTCCTCCGGCGGCGTCATCGCGAACACCACGTTCTACGCCGAGTACAATTCAAGCGGTACGTGGGTTTATCGATCTCCCTCTCCTTTCCTCCCCCCATAACCATCATGATGTCACATACTCATGACGTTTTTGCGTCGACGCAGGTGTGGGAGGCGATACGAGCAAGCGCGTTGCGGCCGATCGGGTGCTGACGGCGGCGGAAGCGAGGGGGTTTACAGTCGAGGCGGTGTTTGGAGGGAAGCCGGCATGGATCGATCATGAATGGATTTGATTGTGGCGTCTCAATGATGTGGGTAGGTGCAACGGCCTTGGGGATGTAGCATGGCCCCGATAGCTGACGTGAATTGTCCTAGACTTAGTGATAGCTCTTGGAGAAGGTGTAACATGTACATCGCTAGCCAATGCTGCCACGTTATCTGTCCGCCTCGTACTGGATAAGATATCGCCTGCCCATGAAGGCTATTTCCTTCGCTTCCTTTCCCGATTCATCGCAATTGCAAAATCGTGTCGTAGTTGTTAAACTCCTGGTTCAAATCCCTTGCCATTTCCGGGCGTCTCCGTATACTACGCTCCAGTTCTCGCAAACGTAGTCGTTCGAGAAAATGGTATGTGGCCTGTGTTCGTCTAAAAGTTGCATCCGACCTATGATCGCTAATGGTTGACTTGCTGTCTTCCAGGGAGCGGAAGCAGGATCGGCTCCAGCCTCGTGTCCGCCTGACACGGTATACTCTGCCGAAGGTAGTTCATGCAGTGCCTCAGGAGAGGGTCGCGCACGTCCGCCACGCGGGAGCTGTACGCGTCCACGATGATGTTCAAGCATCGCATCTGGTGGAAGAGCGCGACGGTGTACGTCTGTGGGGCGGAACTTGGCTCCGACTTCCGCGGGAGGTGGACGAGGTGGCTACCGTTTGGCAGGAGCTGCTCCAACTCGGCTTTTCCGCGCGCGGTGCCTATGTGGTAGTGGACCGTGTTCTCGACGTGGAGGTACACGGCGGGGATGGCGGTGGGGTTGAAAAAGTCGAATGGGGTGGGGTCTGTCATTCGGTCAGCGACTCGATATGCAGTGAGTGGCAAATGCTGTGTATCCACCTTCCCGAGCGACGCGATAAAACAGAGTAGTCGCCAACCACCAGAGGAGAGCGACGACAGTTATCGCCAACGCAAAACGAGGCATTGGACGGTGCAGAAGAACGGCACGTATGTCACTATCTAGGACCAAGAATATGTATGCTTTCCTGAAAGTCTGAATACGCAGTGAACGTCGTGTTCTTTCTGATGAACGTTATAGGCCCCTCAGAATGCCCAGGAACGACACATATGGAGCGAGCAGTGGCTGCGCGACGCTTCAAGTACTGATCCCATGGCTCGAGCCGCTCAAGGGTCTTCCCTTTTCGTGGTCCGTATGCCCAGCATTCGGTGAAAACTTCCGTCTAGGGTATGGATCATCCAGGCGGTTGATGCACAGGTAGCTTATAACATACGTTATAGTTTTTGCACATGGGCCCGCGGACTCGGACCTTCAAGAACGACGTGCCGGTGACTCCGAACCTTGCATTCGAGGTCCATAACTACCGTGCCTTGACTGCCGGTGGGGGATTGCGGGTGTACGCCGCCTTCGCGACGAGGCTTCCATGTCCCGCTTGAATTCAGCATCCTGCTTCAGGCAGGCCAGGATATTTTGAGATCAAATCGAAGACCGTTGGAAGGAGAGAATGAACCTTGTAGACAGCTGGCGTATTGAGCGTCCCAGAATCGGCTTCTCAGAGAGCTGTCCAACGATCGAGATGTCGCGATTCTGCGATCGATGAGGCCTACGAGGCCCCACAGATGCAAAGGAAGGTACCCATAGCCATGCGTTTTGGCATTCGCGTGCGATCAGTCTCGCTCGCAAGTCGTAGCAACAGCAGTCGGCTTCGTTTGATGTCTCGGGAAGCAACGGTAGCAATACAAGAGCGACTGCGTGCTGCGCCATAGGCTAGGTAGGGTGGGACAGTTTTAGTATTTAGTCAGGACAATCATCCAACTAGTGCACCGCAGCATGCCAGAAGGGATAACGATCCGGACCTTGAAGAATCCGACTAGTGAGTGCGTATGTTTGCATAAGAAACAATGAACTGAGAATCGTCGTAACTCGCGCAGAGGAGGAGCTGGACGATGCCGCAGAGGTACTCGTAGAAGCATTACTCGACAGTACGCAGCGAAGGGCACCAGCAACTTCACCTTGGTCATTGACACGCTACCCCTATAGAATCGATCACTCAGGCTGCATGCGGCGGCGATAAATCCAAAATGTTTGCGTTCCACCGCAGTTGCATAGCTGCTGCTGCAATTGGAGGTAAACTCGTTATCGCCGAGACGGACATGAAACAGGTCATCGGCGCCGTTACATACATGGGCCCCGGGAAAGAGTTGATGGGCGAGTGAGTGATACTTTCCATCGCTGTTGTCGAGAGTGAGTCTTCCTCACATTTTCTAAGCGACGAACAACAGGCACAAGGATTCCTGGACTTTCTATCAACGCTACCGTCCGACATAGTGACATGGTGGATGGAAAAGGTTGTTTCTCCCCTGCGTCGAGTACCCAGTGCAAAGCGGTGGCTCATATACTCGCAGTTTCTCCCGGAGTATGCCGCCATCACAGACACCATCATCGGACCAGGAGTTAAGACTAGTGCATGGTCCATAAACAGTCTAGGCGTCGCCCAAGACTTCAGGGGACGCGGTATTGGGCGTGCACTCATTGAAGCGGGTGAAATTCTCGTGAGTTGGGGCAAATAGTACAGGTACATAAGTGATACACGCTGACTTGGCCTAGGCGAGGGCTGATAAAGTTCCCATGTTCGGAGAAACTGAGCATATAGAGAACGTGAGTGATTGCTGCAGGTTCAGTTCTGCAGGATGCCGCTGACCAGTCCCTTTCCCTTAGCTTCGCATGTTCGAACATTTAGGTTACGAGCTCATTGGACAGCAAAGGCTGACCGGAGGCGGACCGGTCAAGGACATTGATGTTTATGTGCTGAAGAAGGAGTTTTAGCTGCACACTTCAGAGTGTACATCAACGATGTATATGGGAAATTATTAGGGCCTTTCTGTAATCGCACGGTGCTACAACCTCTCTGTGTCATCCTTCCTTGTGCAGCCTGAGCCACTTGCTCTGTTACAGCCAATAGCAGCGGGATGCTGTAGTCAGCTTCCTTCGAGTTCACCGCAAACAAATCGCCCAAATTTGTATACACTTTGCATACCTAAGCCTGAGAGCCCCCATGACTCGGAGATTCCAACTTCAGGTGGAGTACTGCCCCTGATGTGTCCACAGGCAGGCAAATCACCGTTCTCCAGGTTCCAGTCTGCGTTCTCGTCCGATCACCGGCCGTGCAGGCCTATTTTCTATGTACTGCAGCAATTTATTGCAGGTGTGGATATACCCACTCCAACGAAGTAGGAAGCTTGCTCGGTGTGAGTAATCTATGGGCGGTACTCGGGGATTATTGTTTATTTTGTGGTTCGGTTTGCTCAATGTGGTTCATGTTCGGAGTTCATCGCCTTGCACAGTTTGCTGTCGGCAAATGCAGGCAGTCAGAGAAGCTCATACACCTCTGGTATAAAGTAAGAGAAGATGTGAAGACCAATTGCTCTGAATTTCCTCGATTGCGGCTCAACATGAAGTTCACTAAAGTCATAGCTATCTACATCGCAAGTTCCGTGCTCAGATCGCATGCTTTCTCTAGTACCATAAGTACGTTAATTCCTCGTCCTCTGGCTGTACTAACATGAGTTGTTGGCAGCAGAGAATACTGAAGCGCCGGGTGTGTACCATGCTTTTCCGCCATATAAAATTCCAACCTTCATGATTGGAAGTTCCCACCTCATCAATACCCGGTCTCCCTCCTATCATCGGAAGCGTTGACCCATTTTAATCGTAAGAACGTATTCCTTCTAATGCTACCGATCTAACTCACACATTTGCACTATCACTAGTTTCCGCTTAATTCATGCACACATTCTCTGCCGCAATTAGGCGGGAGGTGACGAGGGCTACATGCTGAATGTATCCGAGAGGTGGCGTTGATTACATCCAATACGGAGTTTCAATGGAATGTGCCTGGGCTAGTACCATATGAATATGCCATTTTCTCCCGCTAATGGCACCCGTTGAGCTGTGAGATGTTCTATGATGAACTCATGACGAAAAATGAGAATGATTTCTCAGTCTAAATCCGGGTCCTGTGTGCTTTTGCTTCGGGGCACGGAGCATATATAAAGACGGTATGCTGTGCACCATTTATTGGCACAGAACTCTCCCTGAGGCTGTCGTGCAATGTATATTAGACGAGCGTGCTACTCACTCTGCAACCCGCATCCGACTGTGTAATCAGACACTTCACGTCGCTTTTGCTTGCTCTTCCATGGATATCTTTGCAAGACACCTCCTTCAGTTATGCCTTGGAGTCGCCTGCGTTAATATCTGCCTGCTGATATACCACACTGTGATTTGGCAACATACTCCTACTAGTATAGCACTACACAATTATAGTAAGCACGATCTAATGTTGGTTTTATTTACAGACCTAAAAACAAGCTTTCAGCATACATCGGCAATGACTTTCCTTCAAATTACGACATTCACGTCGGATTTGTCACCATGGACTTCACTGAAACAGTGAGATACGCATTGGACGAACCTGCATCGGCCGCCGAATGGGCACTGCTGCAAATGATACCAACACATCAAGGCTACGTCCGCCTAGGGCCTGAGAAGCGCCGCTTCGCCATCAGCATGTTCCACTCCATGCATTGCATGGACTTGATTCGCAGGGCACTGCTTGACTATGACAACATTCAAGCTTCTCCATTGCACGTCCAGCACTGCATCAACTACATCCGCCAATCGTTATTGTGCAACGCCGACGCAATGCTGGAGCCTGGTGATTTTCTGGAATGGAATATTACTCTCAGGGATGGAGACAGCAGACATTCCCGACAGTGTCGTGATTGGAGTGAAGTATATCGGAAGGTGGATGCAAATTATAGGCAGTGGGGAAGTTGGACAGAAGCGCATGGTGTATAAATGGTTTGCTTACCGACGTTTCAAACCAATGCAACTTCCTGATACAAGATCCCCATTAGTTGAAAGTGATACGAGCTTCGTTGCTTCTAATCTATTACGCAAAAACTATGTGGATTGTGCGTAATGCTGGGAGGCGAATTTCCCGTGTCAAAGATCGTGTCGATTCCAGCTCTCCGTTATCACATCGCTATCATCAAGTACACACTTTGTTTAATTGGTTGCGGTCCATTATCGTCACCCTATTTGTGACAATGCTATTTCCACGCCTCTGAAGCCGATATCATGTTCCTGCGATGCTGTCTGCTCTCACACCCACAGCCCTATGTCCTCTACAAGTGCTGTCTGTTCCTTCGAAATGCTGTCCTGTTCGCTCTTGTGCTCCTATCCTTGTGCTCACTGCAGTGAAGATAGAAGTATCAAAATCGAGGAAAATTGGTCTTTCGAATGATCAGAAACCTCAGTAACCTTCTCGACCGCTCTATTGACAGAATGAGTTGGCCAATTTTATAGATCACCCAGGACCCGCTTGATAGCGACTTCATGCAGTCCAGTATGTACATCGTGGAATACTATGGAGCTATTTGCAGTACAGAAGATATCACATCGACTTATATGTAGAGATGCCAATGACTTACATCGAACTTGGTTTTGTCTCCGATGTCGGGTCTGCCACCTAAAGGTTTTGGTCCCATCGAGCCCGCTTCTGTCATCCACCTTGAGAAGGATATATTCAATGGTGCCGCGCTCGGAGCTGTAGCCTACGGTGAGTGCCAACACTGGGACCTATTTCTTCCTTGAAGTTATGATATTCTTTGAGGCCTCAATGTTGCCTTGTTTCTGCTGTGTGCTCCATTGCTATGGGCGCAACGCAAGAGAAGCCCGAAGTATGCTTATAGCATGTTGGCGTTCGTCTGCACTACGTTCGGCCTTGCAACAATTGCGAACGGCTTAGCACTTTACATCAATCAACTGACTTTCATCGATGAGCGCAACTATCCTGGAGGACCGGCTGCATTCGCTATCGAACAGAACTCGATCACCATCAACATAGTGGCGATAGCTTTCTACCTCTTCAACCAATGGCTACAGGATGGACTACTGGTTAGTCGCAATCAGACGTCCCTGTCATAGTTTATACTGACATAGTGCGTAGCTATATCGACTCTATGTCTTGTCTGCTACGTTTAGATTTTGGACGATGCTTGTTCCGGTGTTGCTGTATGTCGCCAGCATAGGTTAGCTTCCCCCTTGGTAGATCATCCTGGTGGCTTACCTGCAATTGATGGCGATCCAATCAGTGTCTGCGAGTCTCTTGTTCGCTGAACTTGTCCACCCCGGGGACACTCTCTGGGAGAAGTCCAGTGTCAACATCGCACTAACGTACTGGTGCATCGCGGTTTCCCTCAACTTGCTCATCACAGTCCTCATCGTCGCGCGATTGATCTATATGCGATCCAAAACGCGCACGCTCTTCGGGAAGGACCATAGCTCCCCGTACTACTTGACTATTTCAGCCATGCTAATCGAATCCGCCCTCGTATACTCCGCGTTTGACCTCGTGTTCATCGTTACCTACGCGTTGAACAGTTCCGCAAACTTTATTGTATTCCCTGTGGTAGGCCAAGTCGAGGTGCGTCGGTCTACCTCCTTTGATCTACGTATCGATGTGACCAGACAAATTGTAGACTCTTGCACCGCTGCTTATAGTATGGCGAGTCGCGCAAGGCCGAGCGCTCACCAAGAAAACAGTGCATGAAATGACGGGGGCCCCCCAGCTGACGACCCTGAGGTTCCGAACATCTGTAACCCGAGCGGATACGTCTGTAACAGCGAAGGCTACTCTCGCTAACAACTCGATCGAGATGGTGGCATATGCGGAGGACAAGTAGAGGACGTCCTGGCTGGGGTGTTCGAGGGGTATCTTCAACCGCTGCATTCACCATCAGGAAAAACCCCATCTGGCAACTTTCTACATATATACATACATGGTTCATAATATGACCATATTCTGTCCAAATTGTCACAAAAAAGCCAAAAAATCCCATAAAACTGTCAAATCATGACAGTTGACAGACCAATTAGGGGACTGTCTTATAGGTACAAGGGGGCTTAGAACTAATGACATAGAAAATGTGGTTGCAGTGTCAATAACATTAGCACTGGTCCATGTCCAAGGGGCTTAGAGAACAAATGCAGATGTAAGTGTTGGAGTTGGGGATTGATACTTGACTGTTGACACCTCACCCTGGCCTGGCCCCATCTGTAATATCATATCACCCCATATAGTCCCAGCTTATATACTGCATGTACATCTGAAAGACAGAGATGTCCATAGCCAACATCATGGTTATGAACCCTACAGATTACTGATGGCCAGGAGACACTGTTGTGGTGCTTTTATCTCAGGTATAGTTAACTTGTCTCATGTCCCATTCAGCTATCACTAACAACTTTATGAGCTCAAATATATATATGTATGTACTCTCGGACTGCTATGACATAGCGACACATGTAATACGGTAGCCAACGCGGACTTAGAGATTCAACGTGAATCCACACGTCACGTGACCTGGCCGTGTTGCCCCGTCTCAGCCCACCGCGCTGGCAAGTGCGCCCAGCGCCGCGCTTGCAAGTGCGTGCATCAACGCGCAAGTCCCCGCGCTCGCCGTCACAAACCGCCCCCAGCACTCGAAGTGCCCGCTCGCCGCCCTCAGCTTTCACTCCTGCCATTTGCCCGGCCCCGAGTGCGAGCCGCAAACGCGGTCGCACTCGGCGCAGCTTCCACCCCCGCCCCTGCCGTTTGCCCATCCCCGAGCGCGAGCCGCCAATGCGGTCGCGCTCGGCGCTGCTTCTACCCCACGCCTCTGCCGTATGCCCCGAGCGCGAGCCGCCAACGCGGTCGCGCTCGGCGCTGCTTCCACCCCGCCCCTGAGGTCTGCCCATCTCCGTGCGCGAGCCGCCAACGCGGTCGCGCTCGGTGCAGCTTCCACCCCGCCCCTGCCGTCTGCCCTCCCCGAGCGCGAGCCGCCAACGCGGTCTCGCTCGGCGC